TATTGTCAACTATCAATTTACATCCAAAAGTTATCTCAACTCTCAACCATCTTTTGTGCTCATCATTGTTGTTGCAACACCGAATATTTTTCTCTATTTACAGTTTGTGAACCTACAAAGAATTTCCCGGCCAACTGTTCAAATTGTCAACCCGGTTTCAACACTATCACTGCAACTTCTCAAGGATTTAGGTCGGTCTTAGTCTAAAAATTAACTCAATGATTCAGTACCTAAATCCAAACACTTTCTTACTCATAAGAAGAAAGTGATACTCAGAACTTTCAAGAATTTGTCCATTAGTTCCTTGAGCGTGATGCTAGTCTTGATTAACATAATAATGACTATTCAATTTCCTTATCCAGAATCCCAGAATATTAGAGAATAATTTGTTTGTCTCTCTTTTCTTGTGTGTTCAATTGAAAAAGAATGGCTAACTTTGGATAACAAGGCTTCTCCTCTCAGCATAGCTCCTTTACCATTTGGTTCAGCAAATATCTTCTTCTTCTTCTTTTTTTCTTTTTTTTTTAAATTTTCGGCGTGTTTGATCTTTAACAAGAAAAGTATATAAATAGCATTTCCTTGGACATGTTTGTCGCCAGAACTGCATTATCTGTTGAAGGAGCATTATAGAGAATGTAACTTAATGTATTAGGTTACTTCTAGAGATTCATAAGATTAAATGTTGTAACATTGTACCAATATCTAACACGTAAGGGCTATTGAACTTATAATTCTATTTGTCCTAATCCAGTTACGAAAGCTTGTTGTCTGATAAGGGAAGTATAGCCTAGTGGAAAGGACCTTCCACTTCCAATCATAAGGTCAGGGTTTCAAGTCACATGGAGCAAATTGAGAAAAGCCAATGTTTGGCTCCTGAGTAATGGGGTTTGGCGAGTTGGATTTTGCCATATCAAAAAAGTAAAAGTTTATTCTTTTGATCCAACTGACTACTAGCTATAGGCAGTGGCGGAGGCAGGATTTCTGCTAAGGGGGTGTGGCTAGTGAGAATTGAATTAGCAATCCCACAAAGAATTTGAATCTCCTTGACCACTGAGCTATGCTTTTGGGCTGTGTCAAGAGGATTCAAAATATAATATATAGAGACACAAAACGGATTTTGCCTTATATATACCGTGGAATTTTCCGACAAAGGGGGTGAGGGCTCCTTCCGCCCCCCTAAATCCGCCCCTGGCTGTAGGTAGAACTTGGCCTTATCAATGGCCATTGATGCCCAAACTGTTACCGGTTGTTTTCTCTAATGCGAAACCCAGTCTAACAATGTAGGTGTGAGTATCAGCCTAAACAACTTTTTTGGTGTTGTGAAATAATTTAAATGCAAATTGTACAGTTATTGCTTGTGTACTAGACCTTAGAAACTCTTTGAACTTTGTCTCCAGTTTGGGTTTTCAACTTGTACTGGTGGAAGTATATCAAATACTCCTCGTAAAACTGGATAAAATAGAAATCACCGATATGTTAATATAGCTTTAAAATTTTGTGAAGGGATAAAAGCTTGTAAACTGACTTTTGACAACTTGGCTCTGCATTAGCTGTCAATATATTGGCTGATGTCAAGAACTAGGTTGGAAGTCGTCAATGGACTTAGACGTGTAAGGAACGATGAAAGCTCAAACTTAGACATGATGTGGAAGGCTTGACATGGATCATTCAATCTAGTCTTTAGCCGTTATTGCTCTTTAGCCAACATCTTCTACTGAAAACACTATGCAAAAAGACTGCCTACACCCCCTAGGGCCCTTCCCCGGACCCAGCGTAAACGGGGAATGCTTCGTGCACCGGGCTGCCCTTTTTACTATGCAAAAAGAGTGGAAACCATAGAAACAACCAAAAGTAGGAGAAAATAAATAAATGACCTTCATTAAGCACTAATAGTCATTTTATCACCTCGTGACTCATGTCTTCCAGCAAGCGGTCTCCCTTGATTTATGAAATAGTTAGTTTATCTCAATTAGTTATTGAACCTTACTTATTTCAGTCATATTGTGAGTTATACATGTTAAAGACACCAGTAACTTATGCATGGTCTTGCATTCTGTTCAAGTAAAAAATCTTAAATAGTACATGTTTTGATTGTTGATATATAAATATGTCCAATTGATTACTGTCATTTTTCCAGACTACTGCAAGAGCTGTGGAAACAGCCTCTTGCAGCCTCTTGCACAAATGCAAGGTAAGGCTGCGTACAATAGACCATTGTGGTCCGGCCCTTCCCCGGACCCCTCGCATAGCGGGAGCTCAGTGCACCAGACTGCCCTTTATGTGTTCATATGACAATAGACTACTGGAATTTGATGATTTTCATATGCATGTCATTATTGCAGCTACTTAATTGCTTCAATGGCTTTGCAAGTTATCTGGAGTATCGGACTTGCCTTTTTGGACGCCTATTTCTTGGCAAAGAAGAAGGCTTTCCACAATCATGTTTTACTGAGCCTCTTCGTAGTTGGAGATTGGGTTAGTATCTGCAGAGAATGACAGCACGCACTAAATATACAAGAAACATATGTTTTTACTAATTCTCTTAACGATCTCTTTGGAATGAATTTACTTGCAGTGTACAGCAATACTAACGCTCGCAGCAGCTGCTTCTTCAGCTGGCATAACAGTGTTGTACTTTCACGACTTGGGAAGTTGCAGTTTTGGCGAGGAATGCACCAAGTACCAGTTATCGGTTGCATTTTCCTTCCTCAGTTGGATAATGATTTCCATATCTTCTCTAATTATGTTCTGGATATGGGCTGCCGGTTAGACGATTCCAGTGTACTGATACATTTGTTCTCATGATCTTCATTACTGTCCAATTTTGAAGTGTGAATAGGAAAAAAAATAGGATTGAGAGTGTTCATTTGTATGCTTATACTCCAGAATATTATTTTTTGTCCTTTCCTCGTCGGTATAGAAGTAATTGTAATTGATCACTTGATGTTAATTGAGGAAGGCCTTTTTGTCCTGCTGACCTTAACTCAACAATGTTCATGGATCATGGTTATGTTATTTGGCTTTGTAACTATATGGTTAGTACGGATGTAGCTTTGGCTCGAATCCTGTATGTGTGTTAAAATTTATTTAATAAGTACAAATAATCAAATGACCGTGATAGAATTCTGAACTCGGGTTGGTTTAGAACAAGTTATACAAGAATTATAATATAAGGATTAGTTATGGAAGGATTAATAATGCAGAGAATATAATGAAGAAATTATTTTTAATTTATTGAATATTTAATTCATTGTATTAAAAATTGGACATATTCTTGCCTCCAACTCCTAAAGAGAGAGTTAACACTGTAGTAAGTTAAAGGTATGCAATGGATCAAGGAATATTAAAAGAACATACTTTGTCTTTCCTATGCATATAATCCAACAGGCACAAGACCACAGCACCACAACTATAATTGGTGAAGGTTAGATAGATTTGTCCTTAGTGACAACAAACTTCAAAATATGCTAACTATGTGAAAGGTTGAGTGGAAAAGAAACCGATGTTTTATATGAAATTTAACAAACAGAATATCCTTGAAGATAAACAGATCTATCAGGATCAATTTGCGTGTACTTCGACTATTCTATCGGATATCTGCTATTTCATCAGTATAGATACTGAACAACTCTGCTCTGCTCACTATAGCTTAGGTAGATGAAAACGGTTTTTAAGTTTTGCCCACTTCATTTACCACTAGATCGCACCCTTCTGCGCTTTAAGTTTGCACTCAATTCTCTAACTATCAATAAATTGACTATCTTTTTCAAGTGACAGACATGAAACATTGTGCGCCTTGGTTAAGTGAGAGCAATGGATCTGATGCCTGAAAACCAGAATATTCGTAATATATTATAGTTTCAGGGTACTCTAGTTTTTATAAATTTCCGAAGGAATTTTTAGGATGCTCTAAAAACTTAAGGAAGCAGCAATAAAGCTCAACTAATTAACCTCATGATAGGAAGGTGTGGAGGACGAGAATTAGGGTAGAAGGTTAGCATATAGGTGTCTTCCCCATACCAGTAGTATGAGTAGTTAGCCTTGTATTGCTTGTTGCTACTACTTTCTTTTCATCTTTCCTTGAGCTTGGGGATCTATTGAAAACAGTCTCTCTATCATCAAAGTAGAGGTAAGGTCTGCATACACACTACCCTCAGACCTCACTTGTGCGTACTGGGTTTTTTGTTGTTGTTGTAGTAGCAGCTCAAATAACATATGAAAATATATATAGGAGGTGTATGATAATGCAAACATTGCAGCTGTATAAAAGGCCTTCCATTGTTATTCTGTGTATCTATATATCGATTCTTTTCTTAAATTTGTAGCGCATTAATAGTACACTTTAAATCCTTGTAATTTTCTAATCAACACTCTATTGATCATACCGGCTTAAATGGAGCAAAATGTTAAGTGATGATTCATATAACTGACCCCTAACTTATTCAGCGATTGCGGTATAGCTTTGTCTAACAACAAGCACTTGGTATCAGGGGCGTACCTAGCCTTCTAATATCGGGTTCAACTGAACCCATAATTTTTGACGCGGTGCATGAATTCATATATAAAAATCTACTAAAATTATAACAAATAGTATATATGAACCCGTAATTTTAAAAATACAATGAGTCAATGATAAAAACTAAGGTTGAACCCATAGAGTTTGAATTCTGGATCTGCCTCTGCTTGGTATCAAAACTCATTCCTCTTTATAAAGTATATAAACTGCTTAATGTTGGAGTTTAGTTTGTTGAAGGTATAGAGAAGCATAGGGATTGATGGCTATGGAGATATTCATAGGAACTTACAAGAGGTTTACATCCTTATGGTTTTGGCTCAGATTGCTTAGACTTCTTTTATACTTCATAAATGAAGCCTCCTTCAATCATGGAATAAATCCTCATGTCTACATCCCTATATTGTAGCTGGTTCTACCATTCTACCCTTTGCCTATTTTCTTGAAAGGTAAAGATAATTGTTTCACTTCTTCATCAATGTAAGAAATGCAGGTATCCTTAGCTTTAGAAGGGACTAGGGAGGCAAGGCGACACCGGTGTCGGGAGTGGAAGAGAACTAGCATGAAATGCAGCAACCATTTTCTAATGCTTCTGTTGCTTTCTGCAGAAAGACAAGGCCAAAGATAACTATAGCTTTGGTGTTGCGGATATTTGTACTCTCTCTACTGGGTAAGCTCAGTTAAACATATAAAAATTTCATATGCTGTTAGATGAGGAATATTATAACAGCCTATCCTTCATTACAGAGAAAGTTTGACACTAAACATGTACTTTGTGAGCTTGAACTACATCTCTCCAACTCTTCTTGCCTCAATGGTCAACACTATTGCTACCCTAACATTTGTACTAGCAGTCATTCTAAGGTAATAGAGTCAAACCTCTCTATAACAGCCTCGTTTGTTCCGATATCTTTTGGCTGCTATAGTGAAGTGCTATTATAGAGGACATATATTTCAACATAACATAATAATCGGTTCCGAAAAAAACTTGGCTTTTATAGTGAATGACTGTTATATAGGGATGTTATTATAGAGAGATCTCACTGTACATGAAGATTCCATGCACGCTACATGAAACATATAAACAAGAGATAGCTGAAATCACAGTTTAGTGTAGGTTGGAAGATGCTAACATTCGAGATATTCCGGGAATAGCAAAAATTCTTGGAACAATGGTTTCCTTGGTTGGGGTTATGACCATGAAAATATACAAAGGACCTGTTGTGAAAAACTTAGGGCTTACTCTCATCTACATCGACAGAGGGAACGGTGTTGTCCACTCGAACTGGTTGAAAGGCTCGATTCTCACTGCTGCTAGCTGCATTACATGGTCAATATGGTACATCATGCAGGTAACCATCATGAACTTCTATTCTCAACAAAAATAAATTTATGAACGTAAAACTTGCATGAATTATGGAGATTCTTCAAGTAAGCTACGTAGGAACTAACTACTGTTTCTGAGGAAAGATCTCCTCCTAACACTCACAAGCTTACACCTGGAATTTACAGGCTTACACTTTGAGAGGATATCCAGCACAACTGTCACTGACTACATGGATGAGTTTTATCGGTGCAACACAATCAGGTTTCTACACAGTAATTGTACTACACAAACAAACAGCTTGGACCATGGGCTTCAACATTGATTTCTGGTCTACCATGTACGGGTAAGAAGGGTCCAATAGTTTCTCTCTAAAACAATTCAGCACTTGCACATTTTGATTAGAATCTGTGTAGCTGAAATAGGAAATAGTGGTCTCTGGTTTAGTAGTCTACATGCAACTCTGGTGCACTGAGCAAAAGGGACCTATTTTCGCAATGGTGTTCAACCCACTCTCAACCATACTAGTTGCAGTTCTAGCATATTTCGTCCTTGGTGAAAAGCTCTATACAGGCAGGTAAGCGACCTTTCCATCTTATCCTTCAAACTTATGTATATATACTATATATTGTCTCCCCTTGGCTTCTTTGTAGATTTACTTCTTTATATTTTGATACCCGGTAGTGAAAATTCTGGCTCCGCCACTGGTCTCTGCCCTTCATATGGTGAGAAACAACATGACTTCCATACCTAATCTCACGTATGCTCACCTCCAAAGTATGGAAGACATGATTTTCTTTTTCATTCCTTAGTTTGGGAAGTTCAATTAGTTATGCAAGACGTGGCAAATTAAAATAGCAGCCCAGTTCATTCATACTTCTGCCAAGTCTTATAAGAATCCAAAAATTAAAAAGCTCATAATCAATTGTATCACATAGTTCAGATAAACTAAAATTACAATGTCTACTTATTGCAAGAGACAAACAAAAATGTAGGAGCCAAAAGGGCAAAAGTCAAGTAGCAGATGTAAATCAAATCCAATTCCACCTAGATAAATTATCTGCCATACATGCACCTCCCTCCAAATTAAATATCGAGAAAATAGGGAGGAAAACAAATGGAGACAGAGATGACTAAGAGAGTAAAATAAATTGACATGTTACCAATATTTACACGAATGAAGGGGGAAATGCCATACATCATCTTGCAAGATTCTCAAGCAGCAGGAGGCCTGAGCGCATGATCTTGAGATGTGTCTCGGGAAGATGGCGGTAGATACTGCCACATTGGGACATAACCATAACTTGGGAAAACTGCCATCTTATTAACTGCCGGCTGATATGCTGCTGGATGGGGTGGAATAAAACTTGCTGGAGTAGCCGTAGCTTTCAACTCTTGCTCCATCCTCTCTTTGTCTGCCTTCAGTGCGAGTTTCTCTTCACGAAGTTCGTTCTTTTCTGCCTATCCATAAAAAAAATTTGGCTGTGAGATTGTACACTAGACATCAAAGGCAAAACACAGTAAATTTTACAAGTTACTTTAGCCTTTCAACCTTCCCAGTACTATTAACAAAGGGAATATCATATCTAACCTTCAATGTTTTGATCTCTTCCATAAGCTTTTGGTTTATCTCTTTGTATTCCTCAGATTCAGTCTTCAGTTCGTTTAGAACACGAATGGCATCACCAAGTATGGCCATTTTGTCTGTTTTTACAGGTCTCCCAGGTTCCAGAACAGAACATAGCTCTGAAAACCTGCATGAAGTTGAACAAGATTCAAATAAATGGATTTAGAACACCTAATTGTCACTTGAAGGACATAATAACTAATAGTAAACTTGTTTTAAGTGAATATGACACTTCTCTTTCTAAGTGTGCCTGTCATCCTTCTCTATTTATGATGTATATCCTTCTCAAATTATAATGGCCTCTTTTTGATACACTCGACTATTCTCAGAAGAACTTATACCAATGGGTGCTCCAAGTAAGACTAACCAAACCAGTAAGAGAACAAGGCATCTATAAAATTGCAACGAGCTACATCCATGCTTTATCTACAATATCGGTGTTACTGTGTATGGTTGAAAATAACAGAAAACAAATGAATGCAGAGAGAGAAATAAGAGTTCATATGAGCATGATGATACCTTTCATTCAATTTTTCCCTTCTTAATCTCTCACGGCAGGCTTTGTTCCCTTGTTTGCTGCAAGACTCATTCCGGCCTCTGTTTAAAAATACAACAAAAGAAGACTCAGTAAAAGAATTGCGAACAGATATCACTTTAGTTTCCATAACCTGATTAACTCAAGGGCAAAGCTAGAAGACAATTGATGGCTAGAGCAAGTTCATCTCGAATGTAGATGAAGAATTTCTGTCAACTAATACTAAATTATCACATTATGATTTTAAAGACATAAGCATACTAGTTAACTTGGTATTTATTCCCTTAATATTATCTTGGCAACGCTAGTCATCCCCATGAAATAACCCAAGCATATGCATAACTTTGCTACCTTTTAAGAAAAACAAAGATATAGTTAGAAGTATCTATATTTATAAATACCTCTTCCGAGGGCATTCTGTTTCTATACACTCCTCCTGAAATGTAGCACTGCTGAGAGGTGCCTCGAGTTCTGCAACAGCTCTGCAACCAAAGGATCAATGAGATACGGACAAGCTTATAAACTAGATTCATGGATGGCCTATGTTATCAGTCTGAACACGACAAATTGACGCAAGGGAAAAATCATCAACCCCAATGGAGCGGGGAAACACGAAAGACAATATTGTTCGGATGGAGATTTCCCTTTCACTTCGTCGAATTACCCAATTAGTAAAATTCTCGAAGAGACCATTTTTCTTCAATTTCCTTTTAGCTATAGCTGCTAGAGAAAAAGTGCGTAGACAAAACTAAATAAGAAAAGTTTGTAGAAAAATGATCATAATCCTTTCCCACCTTTATTAATTGTTTCTTCTTTCTTATGTAACAAATGGAGGTACTGACTTAAAAACTACTCAAATCTGAACTTGTCAGATTTCAGGATCTCTTATACAATTTCCCTATTATGGTAAAACCTCTCCTGACATTAAGTAAAAGAGATCTAATGTCGTGCCAGATATCATTCCACGAGTGAAGTGAAATTAGGTGAAGGAACACTGAACAATGATAAGACAATAAGTTAACGAAAAGGAAATTCAGGAAGTCAAAATATCAGCTCTTATCTAACAGGAAAAAAGACTTAAGAAGCACAATGAGATGATTATAAGATGATTGAAAGTTTTCTCGCAACAAGATACATGTGAACAATAAACTTGCATATTTTTTGAGTATATAGTTGCATTAATTATCTACCCATGAATCAAGATTAAACAGAAAGCTTCCTAAATATGATCGTGCAATTTCACAGGGAAAAAAAGAAGAAGAGGAAAGCATAACTTCATGCAGTAATCTAGTAATTTTACTTATACTCTGAAGCATTGTAGACAACCTTACTTCTAACGAATAAAAATAATTCATTTTTCATTTCTCTCCCTATTTCCTTATTCTAACATAGAACACAAAAAGTCCATCAAATCATATTTAACAAATACTCAGGATAATTCAACCAAAAAATCGGAAAGGAAAGCAACTGTAGCAGAACGACGGAGAAAAGTGGGCTTGTTGGTTACATCTAAATGAGCATTACATCAAGCATATGAAAATATAAGAAATAAAACCCTAAACAAACCAACAAGCTGGCATTTCGAGAATCGAGATAATTTCAATGAAAGATAACTGTAACTAGATCAACAAGATTAATTAACTAGCATGATAGGTGATTTTGAATAAGAATAAGGAAAATCTCATTTTTCCTATAGATTCTGATTATTCCTCTCAAAGAATATAATCAAGATTAAGCTGTATTAAGTGATAAATGAACATATAAAAATTAAAACAAAAAACAAGCCCCACCAAAATCAAGCTATATTAAGAGAAATTGAATGAGCATATCATAAAATCCTACAAAAAGATTAAACTTTTACAAGCTAAACTTGAAACTGTATTTAAAAAAAATGCCACACAAGATTAAGAAGCAGTAAGATTACCATTACATTGAACAAACATAGAAGAAAAGCATATTAAAAGATTAAATTGCATTTAGAAAAGGAGTATAAATATAAAAAAAAACTATATTAAGAGCTAAATTGCATGAGTATATAATAAAAGCCTATGAAAAGGTTAAATTTTTACAGATAAATTGAAAGAGTATATAATAAAAGCCAGATGAAAAAAATCAAATTTTTACAAGCTAAACTTGAACATTAATCTGTATAATAAAACCTCCACAAGATTAAGCAGCACTAACAGATTACATTGAACAATCATAGAATTAAAAGCATATAAGAAGATTACATTTTTACAAGCTAATAAATTAAATTAAAGCAGTAATTAAAAAGAGTAAAAATAAAAATTACCTCTGGTTCTGGTTCTGGATTTGATCATTCCAAAAGAAATCTGAAGGTGCTTCATCTATAAAACTGTTTATATCAATTAAGTCCCAACTGTTATCTCGAAATGAATCTAATTGATCCATTTCGAAAAATCAAGACAATAAAAAGGAAAAATTAAAAATCAAATGAAAAATTAAACCATAAAAGTTATGAATTCTTTTTTGGGGGAAAGGTTTTCAACGATAGAGATGACAGAAGAAGAAAAAAGAGGAGTCACAAGTCTTGATTCGGTGGCGGAAGCGGCAGCCAATAATTGTTGGACACGTGTAAATGTGGCTCGTCCAATTATTGGTGGCGCCGCATTTTTCCACTGTGATTTTTGATTTTTGATATGATTGCCAGGTAATTTCATGTGAGGGAAAAAGAAAAATGGAAATAAAGATAAAATGTTTTTTTTCCCTCACCTAAAAGTTAGGCACTCTTTGACTTTTTTTTCTTCGAATTGTGTTTTTTGTTTCCCAGATAAAAACTAAAGTTTAGATAAAAGGGTTTTTTTTTAAATGAGTTCAAATTTTGACTTTTTTTTCTTCGAATTGTGTTTTTTTTCCCAGATAAAGCTAAAGTTTAGATAAAAGTTTTTTTTTTTAAATGAGTTCAAATTGAGGCAAGTGTTTGTTTCAAAGGACAGTTCAATTGGCTTTAGGACTATTGCTTTCCAATTAAGCTCTTTTTTATCCCTATCAACTTCTTGAAAAATAGAAATAAAAATAAATATAAGTTAAAAGCTAGGGATGGGGGGAGAATTTACGGTAGTAAAAGTAATTAACTCTTTTCATCTTCTTCTTAATCTTCTTGAAGTTTAAAATGTTGACAGAATAAGGAGTTGATTACCCCTATGCTTTTCCTTCTTTTTTTTTTGGCTGTTATTTAATTTCAATGTAACGTAAATCTAAAATCAATTTATCTATTACAAGTATGTTGCTAGCAATTTTAGCAAATAAAATTTTACTGCGACATGGGATAGATTTCCTTCACCGGCAGCCTTCTCAGTCAGAGCTCGTCGCCATGCGCTTGCCTAGTGTGATTTATATCTCTTATATAATTTGCGAGGTACTCGAAGGATTGTGGCTTCGGATTTCCTGGAAATTTTCCAAATAACTTTAGTGTCCAAGCCAATTTACATCAAATTCAATTTATTTCATACCGAGTGACCCCGCCCATAAGACATAAATAAATGGGAGAATATCACATAATTTTTTTCTCTTTTATTAAGATTTGAACTTGATCCATAATTTCCACCCATTTCATTGACGGGCGACACCTTTGAGTACATGCATCCTACTTGTTACTTCCTCCGATCCATAATAAGTGATTTTTTAGCATTTGGCACACCCCTTAAGAAAATACAAATTCCTAGAAAAAAAAAAAAGATGTATTGTCACGACCCGAAATTCTCACCTTCGGGACCGTGATGGCGCCTAACATTTCACTTGCTAGGCAAGCCAATGTTAATAATTTAAACCATTTTTAACAATTCATTTTAATTAAATAATAAAGAAACCAACAACCGGAATAATATATGAATTTAAATGTGCAAACCAAAAATAATACGATGTCTAAATATCATTCCAGAACTGGAGTCACAAGTGTACGAGTTTCTAGAATAATACAAACAAGGGTTTGAATAAAATAAAGTTGTTTGAAAGAAAGCACACAACTAAGATAAAGTAGAAGGGGACTTCATAGCTGTGAACGTCGTGCAGCTATACCTCAAGTCTCCTCTGATAGCTGAATCCGAGCAATTCTATAGTACGTCGCTGGGACCAACTCCAAAATCTGCACAAGAAGTGCAGAGTATAGTATGAGTACAACCGACCCCATGTACTTTGTAAGTGCCGAGCCTAACCTCGACGAAGTAGTGACGAGGCTAAGGCAAGTCGCTTACGTTAACCTGTACGCAATAATAATAATAACAGGAGGAAAAGAAGTAAGACCGGTAAATCATATCAATAATTGAAGCCAATTCAACAGTCATAATCCTTCAATAAATTTTCGTTGCGGCGTGTAACCCGCTGCAAGAATATAAACTTAACATAAAATCTGTTGCGGCGTGCAACCTGCTCCAACAATATAAACTTTCAATAAATTCATTGCGGCGTGCAACCTGCTCCAACAATATAAACTTAAAATAAATTCGTTGCGGCGTGCAACCCGCTCCAACAATATAATTTAACAACTCTTAAATGTAAAAATATCCCAATAAATATCACATTAAATAAGAAATTATTAGGCAACAAGGCATACAATGATTATAATTTATTTGAAAAAAAAGTAATGACAAGTAGCAATTAATTGTGAAAATTACGGAGAAAATAGACAATTTAATATTTAATGTGCTAAATGTCAAGTAACAATTAAGACACATAATTCAAATAAACATGTAGCAATTATAGCATGAATTCAAGACATAATATTGGACAAGGAATATGAGAGAAATAATTAATATAATAATTAATTCATGATTTAAAATAATTTATGATTATTAGATAAATATGCAAACAGTCAATTTGACGATATATAGGCACTCGTCACCTCACCTATACGTCATTACACACAAAATTCACTGAACAAATAATTCATGGTTCTGTTCTCTCAAGTCAAGGTTAACCACGACACTTACCTCGCTTCGCAACCAAATTCAAGATTCTAATAAACCTTTTTCCTTGCGAATTGGTATCCGAAAGCTTCAAATCTAGTCATAAACAATTCAATACACTCAACATGAATCGTAAGAATTAATTCCATATGAAATTACAGATTTTTCGGATTAAAATCCGAAATTCATCTCAAAAACCAACGGTGGGACCCACGTCTCGAATCTCGAAAAAGCTCACGAAATCCGAACACCCATTCTGAGACGAGTCCAACCATATAAAAATTATCGAATTCCAACATCGGATTGTCTTTCAAATCCGAAATTTTCGTTTTAAAAAAGTTTTACAAAAATCCCAATTTCTTCCATCTAAATCCGAAATAAATGATGAATATTGACATGGATTTATGAAATACAATCACTTGCAGATAGAGAACACTTACCCAAGTCAAATTCGTGAAAAATCCCTTTGGAATCGCCCAAATCCGAGACTCAAAACTCAAAACTCAAAAATGAGTAAAAATGGCAAACTTTCGATTTTAAGCATTCTGCCTAGGCATGTCGCATGTGTGAAATGCGACTGTCTCATATTTTCAGGCAAACAAAAACTGCTACCAACCTTCAGTAAATCGATCATAACTTTCTGTACAAATGTCCACATGATAAATGGTTTACATTTCTGAAAACTAGAATCAAAGGGCTATAGTTTTTATGTTTTAAAAATCTCCAAATTCCTTATAGATTGCGAGATATAAGCTTCCAAAGTCAGTTATGTGCATCAGAAATTCGCACACTGTTGTAGCTGAAAACTGCAGTACTGGCCTTCAATAAATCGATCATAACTTTCTGTACAAATGCCCAAATGATGAATGGTTTACTTTTTTGGGAACTAGAAGCAAAGGGCTACAATTTTTGTGTTTTGATAATCTCTAGATTCCTTATAGATTACAATATATAAGCTTCCAAAATCAGCTATGTGCATCAGAAATTCGCACACTGTTGTAGCCAAAAACCAGCAGTTAAAAATGGCCTAAAAATGGTCCGAAACCAATCCGAAACTCACCCGAGCCCCTCGGGACCTCGTCCGAATATTTCAACAAGTACCGAAACATAATACGGATTTACTCGGGGTTTCAAATCACGTCAAACAATGTCGAAATTATAATTCACACCTCGATCGGACTTGTGAGTTTCAAACTTTTCAATTTACAAAACTCGTGCCGAAACGTGTTAAATGAATCCGGAATGACTTAAAATTTGGCGTACAAGTCATAAATAATATAACGGAGGTATTTCAATTTCAAAAGAGAATTTTGACCCCGATATCAATAAAGTCAACTCCCCTTCAAACTTTTCAAAAATCTTCTATTTTTCAACTTTCGCCAAAATGCGTCGAATTGTCCTACGGACATCCAAATCCAAATCCGAACGTGCGCCTAAGTCCGAAATCACCATACAAAGCTATTGAAATCATCAAAATTCCATTCCGGAGTCATTTGCTCAAAAGTCAAATCTCCGGTCAAACTTTCCAAAAATCTTCTATTTTTACCGAATTGTCCTACACACATCCAAATCCAAATTCGGACATGCGCCTAAGTCCAAAATCACCATACGAAATTATTGGAATCATTAAAATTTTATTCTGGAGTCGTTTGCTCAAAAGTCAAATCTCCGGTCAAACTTTAGAAATTCAAGCTTTATAAAATCAAACCTTTCAATTTTTTTCAGAAACTAATGGAAAACATGCCTACACACCTCGGAATAACTTTAACTTTAGTACACAAGTTACAAAATATTGTTACGAAGCTGATCGAACTCTCGGAATCCAAATCGGGACCCGGTATCAACAAAAATCTAATTATGGCCAATTTAGAAATTATTTAAACCTTATTTCTAGTTTCTGTCAAATGGCGATAATTCAAGTTAGGGACTTCCGAATTCGATTCTGGGCATACGCCCAAGTCCCAAATCATGATACAAACCTACAGGGATAGTCAGAACACTGATCCGAGTCCGTTTGCTCAAAACGTTGACCGAAATCAACTCAAATGAGTTTTGAAGCTCAATTTCACATTAAAATCAATTTTATTTTCACATAAAAACTTTTCGAAAAAATTTACGGACTGTGCACGCAAGTCAAGGAATGCTGAAAGGTGCTATTCAAGGTCTCAGAACACAAAAATGAACATTAAATTTAAAGATGACATTTCGGATCATCACATGTATTTACTAAATTACCCTTAATTAATTGTTAACTTGATACATTGGAATATACAAATAAGCAAATTTTGAAAACATAAAATTAATTTTTTCTTGATTATGCAATTTTGAACCAAAATAAACAGGCCAAAAGACCACTTATTATGGATCAGATGAAGTAATTTTTGATAAAGGTAGCCACAACGTGGTTGACAATTAATTCTAACTAACTTCTGAATTAGTCTAGTCAACGCTATTACATATTAAGTTGATTAAAAGCTACTTACAATCCAAAAAACCCAAGATGATACTCCTTCTGTCTCAACTTATTTGTCTTAATTTTTTAAAATAGTTGTCTCAAATTATTAGTCATTTTAAAAGTCAAGACAAAA